AAAAAAATATATTGTTATGAAAAAGATATCGAAAAAGAATCTGGTGGCGGTTGCAATCTACTTCATCTTTGATTTAATCTTGCTTTGTCATTTATATATCCGGAAATCTAAAGAGTTCCGTTTAAATATATCTTTCACTTTTTCGTAGCTTTGCATACTGTAATTGAGTTTAAATATATTTCGCGACATTCTTCGACATGCATGATTGACAAATTGAGTTGAATCAGTCAGCTGAAATCCGGAGAAGTGAGCAAAACGTACCGACAGCGTGATCGCTACGGATGCTCCTGATTTTCCTAAGAAAGTTAAATTATCTAACATGGAAGCAATTTGGCGTATACGAAAAGAAGTTTGAAAAGTTAAGCCCAATGAAAATCCTATTCGGGGTTACTGGCTGGAAAGTTTCCATGTTTTTCTTTGCTCAGTTTGTTCAGGAAATATTTGGCAAGTTTGAACTTGATTGAATCGAGACTAAAAGTTGGAAATGGAAAAATTCGAATGAGGAATGTTTTTGCGCCAATGCGTGTGAATAAGAATGATGAGATAAGTGGAAGTGACTCTAGGGGTGAAAATGGGGAATATGAAGCTTGGTGTGGATTGAAGAGGTTCTTCTGTGTTAACAATGTAAAAGCGGAAACGTTTTTCAATTATTATTTGCTGGAAGAAAAAATATATTTTGCATCCTATATTTTTTTTGATCTATATTTCAATTGCATTCATTCAGTAGGTATGTGTGAACAAGAATACGAGTGAAGTTCATTGGTGATTCAGTGATCTCTTGGTTCAATACATATTGAAGAGAAAACATGTTTCAGTTTCACACAATTAAAAAGGGTGATGTTTTAAGAGTTAAGTTGTTTAGGTTGGCGGCACTGGTTGATAATGACATCCAAACGTCATCTGTCAAAGTGGAAAGTTTTCAGTATACTCTGCCATTTGATCGTAGTAAGAGTTACAAACGAGCAACGATTGCAAATTGTTGAAATTTACTATCAAAATTCGTGCTCAGTGAAAAGTGCGTATCGTTTGTTACGACCATATTCGACCTGGTGAATCAACAATTCGTGCTGTTATAACCAAATTTCGCACCAAGTTTACTTTGTTAGACATTAAACCATTGTCTCGTATGCCTACAGTGCGTACTGAAGAGAATATCGCAGCCGTAGCGTACAGTGTTGATCAGGATCGGAAATGTCGATTCGTCGCCGTTCTCAGCAATTGGGCATGTGTTATTCAACCACATGGAAAATGTTATGTGTTGATTAGAGTTTGAAAGCCTATAAAATTCAACTTCTGCAAGAATTGAAGTCGAATGAACTACCACAACGTCCAATTTTTGGTTTTATGTGAATAAACAAAACTGTCGCATCTGGAGTGATGAACAGACACATGCCATAAAAGAATTACCAATGAATCCCGAAGAAACGACAGTTTGGTGTGGTTTATGTGCTGGTGGCATCATCGGTGCATTTTTCTTCAAAGACGACCGTGAAAGAAACGTTACCGTCACTGCGAAGATATCGACTCATGATTCGCATTTTTTTTTGCCCCAGTTGGTCGAGTTGAACTTGGTTGACATGTGGTTTCATCAAGAAGGTGCACATGCCGCACATCTCGTGAAACTGTAAAACATTTCGTGAAACATTTTGAAGGAGATTGTTCGGTGAGCAGCTTATCTCTCGAAATGGCTTTGTGAATTGGCCGCCAAGAGCATGCGATTTGACGCCTCTGGATTATTTGTCGTGGGATTATGTAATGTCGTTATTGTATGTGGAAAAACCGAACACTAGTGAAACCTTGTAGGATAACATATCACGCGTAATTCGTGGGGTACAGGTCGAACTGCTCGAAAAAGAGATGCAAATTTGGACTTTCCGAATGGACCATTTGATACGGATTCGCGAACAACATTTACATAAAGTTACCTTTAAAATAAAAATGGCAAAGGCCAAGTTATCAATTTCAATGAAAATTTTGAACATATGATGCAAATTGAGTGTTTAATTCGATTAAAAAAACTACGCATAAAAAAATCACCCTCTATTACTCGATTGGCAGTTGTTACCCCACTGTCTGAAGTTCAACTGAACAAAAATTCACACGATTGAAATTTATATATTTAACATCTTATCTGCTATAAAATGTTGTGAGGGCGAAATGGGATTCAAAAAAGAAATCAGTACTCAAAATCAAGATATACGAAAGCGAATTTAGGTGAGAGTATGAGGATAGAAGGTTTCAATTCAGAAAATCCGAGGTTTCAAAGTGGAGGAGATTACTATAAAGGAATTGAAGACGAAGAAAGCAATACGTGCAACAAACTAGTTAATTTGATCATTTATTATGAGGGTTGTTGCCCTTATTACGATTCAGAAATTTCTAAATTTCCTGAAAAATAAAGAGTTTATATTCTCTTGTTTGAATCTATGAAGTGGTTACTTGAAAAACAGTGTGCTGAAAGTCCAGTAAAATTTCTATTTCGTGATATGGAGAACTTCAGTTCTTCTATTCTAGTTTCAATGTTTGGTCCAGTTCGGCATATGTAGTATAAAATCAGCACAATTAATTTGATATACCTACTCAACTTCTCCGACTCTTGAATCAGATGTTTCTATTTACCGTTGACTGCAAAGAAACTTGATGCTTGAACGAATGACCCAATTACGGAGACTTAGTTCGCTGATTAGCTAATTCGCTAAATAGCAATGAATAATGGTATAATTACCCTCATTCATTAATTAAGCTCAAAAAAGTCTTTCCAAATGGCGCTATGTGAAAAAATCGTTACGTTAGAAAGTCAAAATTGCTTCCATGAATACAGGAACTTCAGAAAACTATGAAACTGAAATTTTCAATGAGAAGAAGTAATATTTACTTATATACATATATTTATCTATATATATATATATATATATATATATATATATATATATATATATATATATATATATATATATATATATATATATATATATATATATATATATATATATATATATATATATATATATATATATATATATATATATATATATATATATATATATATATATATATATATACAAATAACAAATATATTTTGACTGGTTTGATAATACAAACGCTACAATTCAGTGAAAATATTGGATAAAGAGAATAATACCAAGAGAAGACTGTTTCTGGAGATGGTGCGGATATACCAGAATAAGAACAGCATGAACTCTCGTAGAGACATTGACGGTCTGAGTTCGATATTTTCCTACTTAATTGACTACGATGCCAAAAGACATAACAGTTGTCCCAGTCTGAATACTGTCAGTGTCAGTAGTTAAACATGTCACTCGGTTTGATTTGTTGTGTTTGTGGATGTGTGTGTGGGTTGGTACTGGCGATGTGTAGTAGTTCTGTGAATGATGGAGACATCGCGTAATTCGCGATTTTTCTATGATGGAACGTTAACCTATAAGTGTCATTCTTTGTTTTCGGATTCAACTATAACCTTGTCTAGATCATTTTTGATACTCCATCCCTACATGTTATGCGTTTGTTTTCATTTTGAGTATCTTTTATATGAATTTTCAGTAAATTTCAGCATCTTTTTGATACAACCTCAATTCGTAAGTTACCACATATCTATGTATATTTGACATTTTCTCACTTTCAATATTCTAGTTGCTCCTGATGAAGAGATAAATATAATTCTCGAAAGCTTGAGATACAAAGAAAAGAGTACACTTATTTCAACCTGAAGACTGCTATCCCAAATATATATAATATATATATATATATATATATATATATATATATATATATATATTTATATATGTATGTATGATGTTTGATGCGGAAGAAAATTTGAATCGACAAATCCCGCAGATTGGTAGCAGCCGTTGACAAGGCTTTCGTGCTTGTTGCCTCTCCTCAGAACGTAGCCAACTTCAAGTTGTACGAACCTGGAGATGGAAACACAAAAAAAAATAAGAAATACAGATAACATCTGAAGGAAGTCGCCTCATTTCAGGCTACCGCGTTTATTCTCTTCGGATTGGGAGATTTGGAAAACTACTCCGCCCGTGAGGTGACTATTTATCCTTCTAGTATGGTCTAAGCCGAGATGTTGTACAATATATAAATAATGTTTGATGCGGAAGAAAATGTTTGATTTCATATATAATATATAATATATAAAAAAATATTTTAAATATTGTGAAAATATTTCGAAAAAATTGTTCCCAAAATTTATTGATTCTGCCATTTATAACAAGAGGTTAACGTTTCCCAAAATTCTAACACAACATGCATTTCGTTATATAAGGAAGCACTCAACAATTCGTGAGAAGTAATGGAATATTCTGGCATTCAATATGCAGTAGGGATTTGCTACTGGGTATTGTAATTTTTATGGCAGTTCGTCTAACCTCATTTCACTTGATCTCTTTCTTTGGATTTTCCACATGCTTGTTCTAGTAGTGTCGACATAATCTAACCTAACTCAACTCCATGTCACTATATTTATTTCTTTTGATTTTTACTTTTGTGTTCACGATGATTCAACCTGACTTAAGCTAACTCCGTTTCTTTATATTCCTCTCATTTTAGTTTTAACTTCTTTCAAACTAATTCAATCGAACTTTATTGTGATAACAAAATGGGACGTTTAATGACGAAAAGCAAAATAATGTTGATTGTCGGATTTTTGAAAAGTGAGCTGTCAAGTATATCAGTCTTATGATATATTTGGATCCTGATTATCTCACAATCTCAAGGATAATTTATAGAAATTTTGTTTCTAACATTCATTCATAAAATTATATTACGTGTTTAGACATCTGGCCTTGTCATAATTTGAATATATATATTTTTTGAATTCAGTGGACCTAAAGTTAACGCCGCCGCCGCGCCGGTTCCGAACGGCCAATGGGCTCGCAACCAGTGTACATTACCTAACAATTATCATCATTAAACTACTCAAATTACAGACAAACACTTCCCTTGGAAGAAGGCTTGGGTTCGAGCCCCCATGCCTTCATCAGGGCTCGAACCCGAGTCCTACCGCACAATAGTCCGGTGTTTTACCGACTAAGCTAAGGAGGCCGACATAATTTGAATATGACAGTTGGCGAAACGCACAATTCTCAGGTATTTTATGAGTTGAATATGGAAAAATATATTGCAAAAAATCGTTATTTGTATAGAAATATTTTTATACACATACACATATATTTATATCTAAATGAAATTTGCAAATTGTTTCTGAATAAATTGATGGATGTACATTAATTATTAGCGTCATTATTTCACTAATTTTTGTCGCTATTCTGGACTAATCGTCCATCACTTTCAATAATTTATTCATATAAATCAAATATTACTTCATTTTCAGGGCTCTTTGTGTTATACGCCTCAGTCGCTACATGGCATATAAATTACATCATTATTATAAATTTCCCTCAATTTATGGATATGTACAGATGAAGTGCATGAAATTTTGATTATGTTTCAGTGCAAAAAGTAATGTTTTACGTAAATTTACACTGATTGAATATAAATTTCCTGGACTCTCGTTGGTGCAAAATTGATGTCAATATAATTATTTTCCATTAAGAGAATTGAGTTTGAAAATAATATTTTTCCAGTTATTTCCTTTCATTGAAAAGAAAACATCCTTCTTCATGCTAAATCATAAAAAACGGAGACTGTATAATATCTAAGATGCTCGTATATGAGAAGAGAATAAATATTTTATATTAAAATAATAATACCTAGTTTGAAAAACTCAAATAAAAAATAAAGTTAACCTTGGATCAATGTAAGTACACTTAAAATAGAGTTATGATTTATTTCATTTATTATTATCATTCCTCGATGATTCATCGGTGGTTGTTTCTGGTAGAACTCCTGAAGGACTTCTCGAGGTATGTGAAGTTATTGTGAGGGAGTTTGTTAAATGGTGTTGCTTGAACAATCTGATGGTGAACGTTGACAAAACTGTATGTGTTCATTTTTCTCTGAAGGGCAATGGAAATGATACCTTGGATGTTAAATATGGGGACAACACTATATCATCATCCCAATCAACAAAGTTTCTTGGAATATATGTAGACAGAAATTTGAGATGGACATCACACATTGAGATCTTATGTGAAAAATTGAGAACCTCATTTTTTGCAATCTCCAGAATTAAGAATATCGTACCTAGAAACTTTGTTATGGATGTATATAACAATCTTGTCATCTAAATTATAATATTCTGTTGTGGGGCTGTTCTACAGAAATAAATAGGGTGTTTATGATACAGAAGCGAATACTTCGATTAATATTCAATATTCATCAACGAACATCTTGTAAACTTAATCTTTATTAATAATTACATACTCACCTTACCGTGTTTATATATTTATAGATGTTCAATATATGTTAAAGAAAATGAAGATGGGTTTATTAAAATGAATAGTAATCATGAGTATTCAACAAGGAACAGTGATGTGCTACTTATTCCGAAGCTTGAAACAGCTAAATTTGAACACTCTCTCTATTATCAGATTATAAAAATCTTCAACCAAATCATTTACCATCGAATTTGGAAGTACTAAAAGTTCATTTCATTAATTGATTGGGCCGATACTTGATGAAAATCTAAATACATAATTTAAATAAAACTACAGTTTTATTTAAATTAAAAGTTCATTTGTTCAAGAGGAGAGTTGAATATCTGCTCATAACAAAGGCATACTATAGTATGGCAGAGTATTTCGATGATTCGAATGTAGGGAATAATGTATGAATCAATTTTTTGTATCATATTTTTGTCTATTTTTTTGTCACAAATGTCCTTCACCATATGGAATTCTCTCAAATGTTCAATATTTCTGATGTGGTTTTTTTTTCTCAAATAAAGTCGTATATTATTATGAATATATATTTGACCAATATTTTTATTTGAACCAATATTTTTGTTCGAAGGCTGAATGTCAGATCAGACTCAAAACTCAATTCAGTCCTTTTGAGAATATTCTTCTCAGTTGTAATTATTGTATCAATTGAATGAATGCAATTTTACAATGTAAGGAATGTTTCTCAATAAATTTTATTTTATTATTTATTATTATTTTTATTGAGAGTCAGCAGAATTAATTTCTATGTTATTCATATAATCATTACACTATTTCCGATACTTTCCAATGAATTATTCATATCAATTCTAATTTGTTTTTGAAAAACGAATGCATTTAAATCAAAGTTGATTCGCTGATCTCTCAGTGAAACATCTTTCGATTGAATATAACTTAAATTCAAACACTTGAACTTATGATTTACACTTTATTGACTACATTGCATGACGCGTTTCGTCGTTACAAACGACTTCTTCAGATGCTTACAGAATAATAACAACATTTTGAAAAATACAGGTATATGTATCAGGGAATTTTGGTGTTCAATGGTTTTGGTTTTACCTAAGATATTCCATTCTGAGAATAATTTCTATTACCTGAAAAGGTTTAACAAGGGTGAATTGTTTAATTCTATCTGTTCATTGAGCAAGTTTCCAGAATTTTTAAGCCGATTTATTTCCACTACCTCCCAATAATCTAATTGACTACTTCTCTCTATATTGTGTAGAATTTTGAAATTCGTATCAAAAGTATGGTTTTCTGTTAATAAATGGTTAGCATAATTCGAATTACTTTTACTATGGGCGAAGCTTTATGGGCTAAATAAAAGTAATTCGAATTATGCTAACCATTTATTAACAGAAAACCATACTTTTGATACGAATTTCAAAATTCTACACAATATAGAGAGAAGTAGTCAATTAGATTATTGGGAGGTAGTGGAAATAAATCGGCTTAAAAATTCTGGAAACTTGCTCAATGAACAGATAGAATTAAACAATTCACCCTTGTTAAACCTTTTCAGGTAATAGAAATTATTCTCAGAATGGAATATCTTAGGTAAAACCAAAACCATTGAACACCAAAATTCCCTGATACATATACCTGTATTTTTCAAAATGTTGTTATTATTCTGTAAGCATCTGAAGAAGTCGTTTGTAACGACGAAACGCGTCATGCAATGTAGTCAATAAAGTGTAAATCATAAGTTCAAGTGTTTGAATTTAAGTTATATTCAATTATAATGGATTTACATCAAGTAAACGCCAACACTATTAAATATTTGAAACATCTTTCGATATATTAAATGAAAATCATTTCGCTCAGTTCTAGAAAATTATACCATTCTTTTCGAGTGGTGTCTCATTTTCGAAAGTTAAACCGTTTATTTTTTGAAAAAAAGGTAGCACCCCGACCAAATTGTAAAAGAGTTTCATAAGTTTTGGAAATTAAGCAAAGTGTTTTTTATTCAATATACTCAATGAATTATTTCATTGAGAATTCTATTTCTGTTCTGAACCTATACCAAATAGTGTTTCAATTTTCAGTTTGATTCACTATTGAAGAGTTCTCTCAGTTTCTTCGAACTTTATTGTTACATTCAACACAAACATATTTTTATCAAATCATTTTAGTTTGAAACTTTTGTATTCGAGGAAATATTCGAAAAATTCATTTAAATTTCATTGAGTTGCATAATGATATTCAGATTATTCTGGGTAAGAGTATTCAAGATTGTACACAGTTTTCTACATAGCATTGAATGAAACAGTACTTATTTCAGTATAAGTTTCGGTTGACGAAATGAACAAGAGAAATTAATCGAATTGCAAATTCTCAACGTTTACTATGCAACTTCTGATTTCAATTGTATTTGAACACGGTTATAAATTATAGTTAAAGTAGCCTGATGGATGAATTTGAACTAAAATATTCATTAGTGAAGAAGATAGATGTTCATATTGATCAAGATAGATTAATATCATATTCCAAACTTGTCAATTTGTCGAATGATCTTCACGAAAGCTAAGAATGGAGAGTGAGAAATATTCGATTTGAATTGAACTGGTTATTTCTAATAGTTTTATTGGTGAAAATTCAAACATTGAATGAAATTTCAGCAGTTTAATTGGTGAAAATCTGAAATGAAATCTCTGTCACTGATACAATTTCTTTGATAAAACATCATACCGAAAAAGGAACCGATATCCCAGTGCTCAACATTGAGTTTTTTTCTCTACCAAATAGCCTTAAGGGAAGAGTGAAAATCCCTTTCTAGGGGATCCAAGTATCAGCACTTATAAAATTGAGATTATCAAACGAGTAATGCTGAATAATATTGGCACTTACTTGGTGCAAATCTTTAGAACTATAGGATAATTCTAACACTTTTGAATTTTATTCAAATTATTATAGAAGTGTGAATCAAATTTGAATTGCAAATCGAATTCGAGTGTTCAAAGATGTATAAAGATTACGAGCCCAAAAATTGAGTTGAAAAAAAGAGTTTTCGTGTTTTCTTCATTATAAGCGGTGATTTTCAAGCGAAATTTTTTTTTGAATCGAATAAAACACACAATTTGCATCATATATTCAAAATTTTCATTGAAATTGATAACATTTATATTTTATTCGCGTGAATGTTGTCCGCGTTTCTGTATCAAAGGGTGCATTCGGGAGGTCCAATTTTGCGTCACTTTTTCTAGCATTTCGGCCTGTATCCCACGAATTACGTGTGTTATGTTATCGTGTAAGACTTCGAATGGTTTTCGGCTTGTCCACATAAACTATCTGTTTCACATAACCCCACAAGAAATAATCCAGAGGCGTCAAATTTTGGCGGACAATTCACAGGGCCATTTCGAAAGATAAGCTGCTCACAAAATTCATCCTTCAACATGTCCATTATTTCACGAGCTGTGTGGCATGTGGAACCGTCTTGATAAAACCACATGTAAACCAGTTCAACTCGGCCAACTGAGGCAGAAAAAAGTTGTGTATTTTGGCTCGATACACAGTTCGCAGTTGACGATAACGTTTCTTCCACGGTCGTCTTTGAAGAAAAATGGACCGATGATGCCAGCAGCCGATAAACCACACCAAACTTTCGTTTTTCCAGGATTCATCGGTAATTCTTGTATGTCATTTGGCTGTTCATCACTCCAGATGCGACAGTTTTGCTTATTTACATATTCGTTATGC